TCACCCAGCTAGTAAATTGTGAAGCCAGGATCAGATCTGAGCTCTGTGTTGGAGGAGGGGCTAAGAAGTGCCTGTGGGCAGAAGCCTGGGGTGGGCAGAAGCCTGGGGTGAGCAGGGCCAGGAGGGTGGGGAGAGTCAGGGAAGGCCTCATGGAGGACAGTACCTCAAAGGATGGAGTGGGGGGATTTCAGAGGGAGAGAAAGGGCAGGGTCCCCTGCCCCCACCAGCTTCTTTGTCCTGGGCTCAGCTGTGACCTCAGAAGCCTTTATTAACGTCCTAATTGTGTGCAGCTGGTCTTCTCTGGCTCTAATGAGCTCATTATCCTCTCTCATTAAGGAGGCCTTTGTGGCCTGGTCACCCTGGGGACAGCAATGGCCTGGGAGTGCCCGTCACTTCCTGCCTCTCCTGGCTAGGCTCAGCCCCCTCCTGGAGAGACTAAGGCCCCCAGCCCCTCACCCAGGTCATTCCATCCTCTGTCTTCCTCCATCTCTGCCTCTGTCTCTTTCTCTCTCTGTCTCTGTTTCTACCCTTCCCATCCCTCCTCCAATGCCAGCATTGGGAAGCCCTAATTAGAGTCAGTTTGAGAGGACTTTGACATTGGCCAAAGAGCTGAAGATTATGCTCAGCCTGGAAAGAAAGAGGGTCTGGCTTCTGGCTTGAGCTTTTTTCTCTTGGGGCTGGGGGCTCTCTCTTCCCTATCTGGGATGGTGGCCCCCCTTCCCTGCCCTGAGCTGGAGGTACCTGGTCAGGCCACCCCAGTGTTGCCTTCTCCTTCCCTTAGCCTCTGAGCCATTGTGAAGTGGGCTCTTATTGAGGCCTCGCGAGCAGGGCTGGCTGCTATGTCAGGTGACGTTGCTGTTCTTTCTGGGCCTCTGCCTCCTGGAAAGGGCTGGGCCCTGGCCTGTCAGCCAACCTGACTGAATGACATCCTTCTTCTGGCCCTGTGGAGACATGGTCCTCCCAGAAGGAGAAGCCAGAATGAGGCAGCTCTCAGTGGGTTGGCCAGCTGCGGTTCTCCCAGATGACTGCCCCACTCTAGGGCTTAGCCCCAAAGATCAGGCCCAGACCACACAAGGAAGGTATTTCCTGCATGTCCAGTGTGTGTGGCTCCTCTCTCAGGGTTCCCTTACAGCACTTTCCCGTTCAAAGGAATGGACATGGTAGCTCCTCCCTCTCCTGCCCCGTCTGAGGGGGCATCTCAGAATAAAGGCAGTCCAGGTGGGAAGACCTGCTTGGGCATGGCTGCCAGGCCAAGGGTGCAGGGCTGTGCTTAAGGGGTCTCTCAGCAAGCTCAGCCCCTTGAGGGTTCCCCACCATCCTGCTCTACCAAATCCCGCCCCCAAAAAGAGGATGCTTCTCTTCCACCTAGAAAGCAGGATGACTTCTCAGGAAAAGGCCAGGTCTGGCCGCCAGTCGGGTAACAGCCGCTTCCATCTGGGCACAGTGGTGGCTACTCATCAGCTCAAAGCTAACTCCATTAGTAAGACCTTGCTGTCTTCCTCTCCCAAGAACAGGGGCTGGTAGGATGGAAGAAGGCCAGCAGGGGCCATCTGAGAGTTTGGACCTGTCTTCCTGGGGACATGAAAAGTACAAGAGGTAGCTCAGGCCAGCCCCTGGGCATCCACAAGAGCTGGCCACCTGGGCTCCCACATCCTATGACTTTAGTCCTTCATTCAGCAAAGCTCATAGCTTCCCTTTAGTGGGCGCCTGCTGTGTGCCAGATCCCATGCATTGTTCTTTATCATATCCCATCCTCATACTAGCCTGCAAGGTAGATGGTAGTCTTCCCATCTTACAGATAAAAAAACCCAAGGCTCAGAAAGGTTAGGTCACTTTCCAGAGGCCACAGAGCATGGAAGTAGCAGGGATGGGATTCAGACCCAGGTCTTTGGCCCCAGAATTTAGGCTCTGTGTCTCAGTCTTTTCATCTGCCAGGCTGCTTTCTGCAAGCTCAGCTTTGCCCTAGAGACAAAGTAGACATGGATGGTACATATATTCTCAATAGACCAATCCTCAGTGTGCATGAGCAGCTGTGAGTCGTGGGGTTGACTCTCTGGACACTTGAGATTTGGAGAAGGCCGGTTCGGAAGGGCTTCCTGGAGGAGGTTAGGACAGGAGAGGGGAGGCTATAGGACCTCTGTCCTGGGGAACTGTGTGAACAGAGCAAGAGCCAGGCCGAGGATGGCTCTGAGACATGTTGGGCAAGGAGGAAAATCCCAGGGATGTCTCCCACTGGGCCGCATTTCCCACCATGCTTTGCTACCACAGATTGTATCAGCTGAGGAAAGAGTAAGGAAGATAGTGCCTTTCATTCTTCTGGAGCCCTTGAAGGCAGCCCCACATGCCATAGGTTAGAGTGAACGCCTGGGCATGCGCATGCATACACACACATCTGGGTCAGTTCACCAAGCCAGGCTGAGGGCTCCTGGTGTACCCCTCAGGCACAGCCACCGCCCAGCCACCCATGGGTGCTGACTCTTAGTCTAGGAGAATACCAAACAGCCACCACCATGCTGATAGTTGTGCAAGGTTTTTGAGCTCCAACTCTGTCCAAGGCCCCAAGCTAAGCTTCTTATATCATTTATTCACTTTAACAACCTCGGGAGGTAGGCTTCATTAACTACTCCCATATCAGAAAGGGGAAACTGAGGCTCAGAGGTTTAGCAATTCGTCCATGATCACACAACTAGGAAGTAGTAAGCCAGGACCTGAATTTGCGTTGTTTCCCATAGACCCCTAACTGTTACCCTCCCCCCAGAGGACCCTCACCCGTACACACACTCAGGTACACAGAGCACATGCCCAGCAGCGTGGACATACCCACTCACAGACAGGTGCATATATAAAGCGCCAATATCCAGGGACACACGTTCTCAAGGAGCCACCTCTACCCTCGTGCACAGCAGGTGTGTACCTTATCCATTTCTGTGGTGGTTAAGAATATGGGCCCTGGAACCAGACCGCCTAGGTTTGAAGTTCAGCTCCTAATTGTCATCTATCTCTGCCTCAGTTTCCTCATCTGTAAAGTGGGGGTGATGATGAGAGTAATACTTGTTTCATAAGATTCTTGAAGATAAAATAGTCACATATATAAAATTAGTGCCTACCACTGAGTGCTCTTTTGTTTCTGACCACGATCGTCATCACTTATAATAAATGCGCAGACACACCTACAGTGTGCCAGGTGTATGTAGATATGTACTTGGACATAACCCACCTCCCATGTCCTCAGAAATACATAGCCTTGTCCACACCCCCCCACACACACACTCTCAGCCTCTATCCGCAGGAAAGGACTCCAAGTGCATTGGAGGTGAGCCTGGGAGCCCCATGGGGCTGGCTGACACCTGAGTTCTCTTGGCCAGCTGGCCATGCTCAGGAGTTCAAGCTCTAATTGCTCCTTGCTGAAGCAGCAGTGACTTTGGTCAGGAGCCCCAGTTGCAGCAATTGATGTCTGAGCTGCTGGCATCTGGCACCGGCCTGTCAGCAGCCGTGGGTGGCGCAGCCCCAGGGAACCTCCCTCAGAAGCCTGTCTGTGTGACTCGTGCCAGGGTTCCCAGGAGGTCCGCATGGAGCCGGGTGGACACCTCTGCCCATGTTCACTCATGCCTACCCATCTTTGCTTGGTGAAGGTGCCCATAGCCAAGCCAGTAGCAAGTTATTCTCTGCAGGGCCTGATGCAAGAGTGACCCGAGACAGAGACACATAGCCCAGCTCTGCACATTTAGGGCTAGAGTGTAAGAAGCCCAGGCCATTATTCTCAGGCAAGGTTAGCAGGGACCACCAGGCCTTGAGGATGATGAGGGTCTCAGCCCCAAGTCTTGGGGGTACAGCAGGAGAGTAGGATCCTAAGTTGCTACCTTAGGGTAGGGAGATGCTCATGGTCAGCTGATAACGTGGCCCAGGCTCCCCAGAAGCTTCTGGTGCAGCAAAAATTTTGAGGTGCAAAGGACTCAGAGATAGCTCTGGCACATCCAGGGGGCACCCAGGCAGTGTGAGCACCATGCCACCCTACTCATTAGTCACTTCAGCCAGCCACACATTTAGCTTTTCAGCAAGTCGCTGCCCTGTCCCGCCTGTGTTCCAGGCCTGTGCAGCAGAGGTAGAAGGAGGGCCAGGCCAGCCTGCCCTGCCCCTGGGAGTTTCCCTGCGCCAACAAGTCCAAATCTGTCTTTCCATCCCAGGTTCCTGGCTCCTGGGGGAAGGGAGGGAGCAGAATGTACGTGGTGGGTTTCCCAAAGGGTGATGCAAGGGGTAGGGGAGATGATGCCACCAGCAGGGAAGAGACCTAAATCCTGGGATTGTGAAACCCTTGGAGCCAGGGGCCAGCTCCCAAGATGGCCCTGGTGAGTGGGAATTTGAGCAGGGACTGCTTACCCAGAGCTTGTTTGAATGATGAATGAATGAACCAATGAATGAAAAAAGAAAATGAATGAGCTTTTATCATTTGGCCATGACTGTCAAGGGTCGCTCAAGGGTGCAGTGCCCACTTACTGTGATTGAAATGTCAACACACTTAAGGGCAGCTGTGAGTAGCACAGCTGTGGAAATGCCACTGACCCATGATAGGAAAGGGGAATAGTGACCATTAGAGGGTATCCCTGAGGCCTTTATCGCTGGATACTTTTGAAGCAGAGAAAGCAGCCCCACTCCCGCCACACCAGGGGTCCTAATTTACAGACCCTAAAAGGTCTCAGGGTTTGGCTGTTCCTGCAAGGTGACTTTCACACATTGGACATAGGATTGTCTCAATATTTTGATTTTTTCATCAAGCATTTGAGGAAGTATGCATCCCAGTCCATCGGGCCCTTCCATCAGGGAGCATGTTAGTCCATCTCTTCTTAGCCAAGCACAGGCTCCTCCAGGCTGGACGTGGGCCAGGCATTTCCCGGGCTCCCGGGTTGTCTGGCTTTGTGCCTTCCCCTCCTCATCCAGGCCCCCACCACCTCTGCCATCCCTCTGGGTTCTCATGGCCCTATTCTCTCTTGTCCCCTCTGCAGGCTGGTGGTTCGTGAGCACCTCTGAGGAACAGGGCTGGGTCCCTGCCACCTACCTAGAGGCCCAGAATGGTACTCGGGACGATTCAGACATCAACACCTCCAAGAGTGGGGAAGGTAAGAATCTGCAGGTTATGAGGGCTGGTAATAAGGCAGGTTCAGGGAGCTGGCTGCCCCTAGGATCACTGGGGATGGGTACCCACCCCACCCCTGGCCACAGGAATGAGCCCAACTCCTGGAGGCAGCTTTCCCATCTTCTCCCTAAAACCATCAGAACCCCTGAAGAGGGCTGGGCCATGTTCCAACCCTCCTTTCTCTCTCAGACCCACTAGCTCACCTCCCATTCCAGGCCCGTCCCTGCAGCCCCCATGTGGGGCTAAAATTAGAGGGGAAATTCCTTTGGGGTGTGGATCTCAGGGTTTGGCAACTTTGGGGCAGAGACTGGGAAGAATAGTCTTGGGGCTAAACCCCTGAAGCTCCCTATTCCCTAAGAAGCCCTGGGTTCCTCTGGGGGACCCCACAGAGACCTCCCTTTGCCTACCCCCACCCACAACTTCTGAGCATGTGTTGCTCTGCTCAGAGGCCTCTGCTCCAGTATCTGTTGGTCTAGCTGAGGGTGTAGACACAGAGGGCAGGTCTGTGAATCATTTCTCAGTGTCACACTCACCAAGATGTGGCTCCAACCCCTGCACCATCAGCCTTTCTGATTTTCTAGGTTTTTCTAGTTGCGTTTCAAAGAACCTTCCCCCAGGCCAGCATTGGCCTGGACGGCCTATCTGTGGACTCAGGTATTCCCCAGAGCAGGCTGCCAGAGCCCAGCAAGTGTGAGGCACCCTAGTTCCCACTGCCTGCTTCTAATGACTTCCAAACCTCCCGTGTCCTGGCAGCAGGAACGCTTGCCCTAACGGTCAGTGGGGACGGGCCAAATGGGCATGTCTGAGAGCCAGGGGTATGGAGGCCTGCCACCTGGGGCTCAGGCCACCTCCCAGGCCTACACCCGTGCTCCCCCCCTTCCCATTGCCCAGGCCAAAATAAGCAGCCCGCCAAGCGCCAGCTCCTTTTTCATCCTTCCCCTAAATGTCCGTTACTCGGCAGGCAGTTGGAGCCCCACCCTTCCTCCTGAAATGCTTTATTTCAGTTCCTTGACCAGAATTGCAGTCCCTGCAGTGCTTATCCACCTTGTGACAGGTTTCCAGGGACTAGGCCCCATCAGGGAGCGCCCCTGTGTTCAGGCCAGGTGCTCAGTCCTTCCTGGCTGTTTCCTAAGCCCTAGAGTGGAGCCTGCACCCCATCTCCCCTCTGGTTCCATTGCACTCTGCAGCAGTAGAGGTCTTGGCCCTGAGCTGCATCTGGTCTAGTTTGTCTGCAGTAACCAAACTCAACTCCTATCCAGTTCCACATTCTCGGGGGCGTCGCAGGGCCTCTCAGAAATAACAGCCCCTTGAGTGTACTGAGGTCTGGCTCACTCGCAGGTGTTCAGCTGGTGCTTTACATGCCCTCACCACTACCGTTGTGGGGGTGAGGGGACACTGTTGGGATCCCCATTTTCCTGATGCCAGAACTGAGGCTTCGAGATGGTTAGCTATGTGTTTGTCTTCGTAAGGCTTCAACCCTGGTTGGCCTTCGTTGCTTTGTGGTCCTCACCACCGGGCAGCATGCCTCTCCATGGAGCATTTAGCTTGTAAGCAACTCTAGGAACGCATGTGCCATTGGAGCCCCACCTGAAAGGCTATGCCAAGAGTGTCAGAGCAGAGATATTAGTAGATGATGGAGGAATAGGACACTGAGTGGGCAGAAGAGTGTCCAGGGCAGGAAAGAGCCTGAGACTTATATGGACACAGATGCCAGCCTGGTTGGAAGACAGAGTGGTGCTTGGCATAGAACAAGCAGTAGCAGGTTGTAGAGGATTTTAACTTTGAAGAATCAGCAGCCATTTGTAGGTTCTGCATTCAGAGTGTGTGTGTGTGTGTGTGTGTGTGTGTGTGTGTGTGTGTGTGTGTAAAACCCAGGGTGACCCTTCTGAAAATAAGTTGTTCTGCATGCTTTTGATAGGACCTGTCTGCCAGTACTCCTGGCAACATTGGGCAGCTGTGAAGTCCACCATCACATCTCCACCCAGCCCAGCTCTACAGAAGGGCTCAGTGCTCAATACCCCAGGTCCAAGACCCCAGCAGCTGTGGTGTGTCTGCCAGTCTCTCTGTACCTGCAGCCATGTGGCTAAGAGATTAGCCCACCCCTGGTCTCCTCTCCAGCCATCTCTACCCCAGCCCTGTTGCCATCCCATCACAGGTCTCCTGAGCCCTAGAGATGGAAATTGAAAGCCTTTGTCCCATCAAAGCTTCCCTAACAGCTCATGCTGTCAGAGCTCCTCCAGGTCTGGCTCGCACAGGCCCTGACCTACGTTCCATAGAGCTCGTTCAGTCCCTTGCTTTGTTTCATGCCAGGGCAAGTGGTGTCAACTCCAATGACAGACGAGGAAATAGAGGCTTAGAGAGGGAGGGCAGCCCGCCCAGGGTGATGTAGAAACCTGGCAGTGGGACCTGGACTGAATCCACACCTCCTAACCTTTTGTCCAGGCCTCCTGCTTATAAGAAGCAGGCCACTATCCTCCTTCCAGGAAAGCAAATATTTCCCAAGAAGCTTTGGTGGCATTTGGCTCAGGTGTGTTCGGACAGTTTTGCTGTGGCTCTGCCTGCCTCCCTTTCCCAGACCTGAGCATCCCAGCACCCTCCTCCTGTAGTGCCAAGAGGTGGGAGCCAGTTGGAGCCCTGGAGTCCTGGTCTGGTGTCTGTGCCACCTGGTGTCCCATAGGAAGGCAGGTGGCATCTGGAGCTGGGCTGAAGCAACTAGATGATCAGTGCAGGGTATACCCCAGAGAGGGTGGGCTGGACGAAAGGGGCCTGTAGCAGTGAGAAGCAGGGGAAGCAGCTTCTGTCCTCAGAAATTCAAATGGGTAATGTGTGGAGAGGAGCAGAACCAAGGCCTGTGGCCTTCATGTGAGCACTTCACTCAGCACCATTTCTTAGGGATCAGCCATGTGCGTGGCCTCATGGTGGGCCCTGGGGATGCAAAGACACAGTCTTTGCCCTCAACAGACTCGATCCAGTGGGGATGACTGTGAAAGCAGGGACATAAATGCAGAGCAGTAAGAGCTATAAGCTCTGTTGAGGATGGGACCCCAAGTCTCTCCTGGACATGTATATCCTTCCACACACGGTGCCTGGCTTGTGGTGACAGGTTCACAAGCAGGACTCGGTGAGTGAGTGAGTGAGTGAGCGAGCGAGTGGGTGGTGGGGCTGTAAGCCCCGGTGTGATGGGGCCCCACACCGCCCCAGGAACTGGCACTGCCCAGCAACAGGGGGAGCAGTGGTCTTTCCCTGGGGCCGCGGCAGAGGGTCATCTTGCCCTGACCGGAACCAAGGGTCCTCGTCAGCTCCCAGGTGCTGGGATTCTAAATTCTCAGCCTGTCCCTGGCTCAGGGCAAAATCTTCGGCTTTGGTTGAGTTTTCCCCCACATGCCAATGATGTCACTTGTCAGATCTGCCCCTATCCAGCAGGTGTGTGCCAGCTGCTGACCTGGGAGTGTGACCCTTCCCTTCCATCATCCCTTTCCCGCCCCATCCCATCTCATCGTCATCTCCATTCTCTCCACCGGTTCCTGTCGGCCACGTGTTCCATCGTCATCTCTCACACCAGTGTCCAAGAGACGCAAGGCCCATCTGCGGCGCCTGGATCGCCGGTGGACCCTGGGCGGGATGGTCAACAGGCAGCACAGCCGAGGTGACCTCAGGAGCCAGCTTCTCAACTGGAGCTGCCGCCGCTTTCTCTCTCACTAACACCTCTCCTCCTCTCTGGGCTCTGCCCTGTGACCTCCTCCCCCAGATCCACTGGCCAGGCTTTTCTCTCGCCTACTGCAGCTTTGGGGTGGGTGGGTATGGGAGCTGCTTGGGAATTGGGATGACATTGGAGGTGGCTCTGGTTTCTGTCAGTGTCCTGGGGGTGGGGGTCATGGGACCTAAGGCACAGTTGTGGGGGCAATTGGACTCAATGAAAGGCCACATTTGCCCTGGGAACTGCAGATTAAGAGAACTGAGTGTTTCTGAATCTCTTCATGGGCCATTACACACGTGCGGTGCACTTCATTGCCTTCCTCCTCTAGGAAGGTGCTCCCTTGGCCAAAGCTGTTCCAGCATTGCTTAGGGACAGAGTAGGACGAAGGACCAGCCCACAACCCACCTCCATCAGCCAGCTCCCAGGAAGCTAGAAAGGGAGCAAGAGCCAGACCCAGCCTGGCACCTCTGATGGTGGTATTGGGCCAGCCAGGAGCCTCCAACATCTCCAGCACTAGCCATTGGGACTGGGAGTGTGGGGGCTGCTGATCAAGAGGATTTCAGGGAGGTTCCTGGTCTGCCACACAGGCTGATCGGGAACCAAGACATTTGCAGGTTCAAGGCCATTCCAACATCTAGGAACTTGGAACATAGGAGATAGGGGCCTCTGAACAAACCCCTACACATCTCCAGAGCCCCCAGGCTGTAAGTGGCCAGTTTAAATATAAGATCATGTTTGGTATCTGCCCCCAATCCTCAGGCAGCAAGAAGCCTGGACTCTATGGTGTCCACTGCCTGTGGCTGGCTTAGTGTCGGACTCAGAGCACTGACCATGAGGAGCCTAGCTTGTCCTGAGCATAGAGTGTGGGTTGGACCCTGGAGGCTAGCACAGGACAGGAAGCCAGGTTGTGGAAACAGCAAGAACAGGTGGAATGTAAAGCAAAAAGCACCCTAGAGCTGGGAAGGGTGGGGCAGCATTGGTGGGGGACCAGGCTGGGACGCAGTTCCAAGCCTTGGTGGCAAAGGACAGTAGACACTGGCCTGGAAAAAGCAGCAGGGAGGAAGGCTTGGGCTTTCCCATTCCCTCCAGCATCTGCTCCAAACACCATCACACACTGAGCCCCAAATACAACTCTGTCTCCACAACCACATGGACACATGCAGCCAGCAAAGTACTACCCTGCACAGCACTGATGGCCACAGTGCTGTCACAGCCAACCCCGCAGCTGCACATCCACTGGCCTGTGACACAGTCTCACGGATACACACATAATTCCACCTAGGCAACCACACGTAGACTGTTTCGTGTATACATTATTTACGTTGTCACAAATAACATTCACACACACTGCTCTACAACAATGTCACAAGTACACATGTAACTTCATGGAGTCTCATATACATGACCTCTATGCACATACAAACAGGCAGTGTAGTCACAATTCCAAATATATATCACATATATGTAATCAAATACATAATCCTGTGGTCACTCAAATACACAAATACATAATCCTGTGGTCACTCATAAGAATGCAAATACAAGCCCACAACTTCTTTCTCTCTCTCAAATAAGAGATCTAAACAACGTTATTCCCCAGTCTTAGACCTAAGTTAAATCAGGCAGCCAAGAAAAACTTGCAGGAAGTTGGCTAGGAGACGCTTCGTTGCAATGAGCCGAGCTGATGGGGAGAAGCAGGCAGTGGGTCATGTGTAACTAGACAAGAGAAAAGCAGTGCTTCCCCAGGGCCTCCGCTCCCCGTTCCCTCAGCCAACGAGGCCTTTGGAATCAAAAAGCCCCTTGCAGTGGGGTTGGGTAAATTGTGGGGGCCGGGAGGGGAGCCGGGGAGACTGCTGACAGAGGGGAAAGTGTTTGGAAAGAGGAGGCGTCTGTGGTTTGGAAACTGCAGGGCTCTCCAGCCCCTGCCTCCAAAACCAAAATAGGCCTGTCCACCTCCCCACAGCCACCCACCCACTCACCCAGTGGGCGGCCTGGCCAGCCCTTCCTGGGGCGGGGTTGCCACCATCTTTGGATGGCATAGCAGAGTGGCCGCGGCCTCAGTGCTTCTCAGAAGCCCTGAGTACCCCCCAGAATTCATAGTCCCCATTTCCTCAACTCCAAAGGGGCATCTCTTCTAGGGACCACAACCAACCTGAATCATTCCGCCACCCCCTGAGGCCATTTCTATCTGCCTAGGCATCCTCCCACCTGGACCCCATGTGGGGTTTGTGGTCCTGGTTCAAGAGCTATCTCTGCTTCTCCCTTGGGGAAACCTGTGAGCTGGGGGCTGAGTTCCACGTAGCACATGTTCACACGGAGGAAATTCATGCCTCCGCCATCTGAGCCAACCATAGCAGAAAACCAAGCCCCCAGACAGACCAATTGGAAGAGTTGCCCTGCCTAAAACCAAGGCTCTGAATTTTTATCATCTGGAGGGCAGGACAAGCCTCTGAGCCAGCCAGATACCTTACTAGGAGCCCATAAACTCCCAGACATCCATGTTCACAGCAGCCCACGGCCACCAAGAAAAGGGCTTTTTGCTGGAGTAGTTCAGCCTTTCTGGGTAAAGCTGATATCCTTGGTGCTGCCCACCCCAAGAGGGTCAGGGGAAAACGGGGTGGTTACATGACCCATGGGGCACTGTCCTCAACATGCACCCTGGGGGCTCTGGAGGCTGGTGCATGGGCCTGGCAGCTCCAGAGCCTGAGCCCACATGACACGGTTAGGCCCTGTTCTCTGCCATGCGGCCGGGCAGGGCTCCTCTGATCTTCCCAAGAAGAGGACTGTAATTTTTCTCTGCAAAAGCAGCTTTGCCTAGGAAAACTTTAATGATGGCTTCCTGCTCGAACCACAGGCTTTTAAAAATAGCCCAGCTGAGCAAAGGCAAAATGTGGAGTCCAGGCCTCGCCTCACCCTAACCTCAGAACTCTAGATTCCCGGGGCCTGGCGCTGCCCCTCTGGCCACCGCCGGGGCCAGGATATACCGTGCCTCACTGGAAAATGGAGTGGGACCAGGAGCAGGCAGGAGAGCGAGTGTTGGCCTGTGCAACACTGAACTCCTCAAAGGCCCGAGTCAGAATCTGGCCGAAGGAGGTTCTCAGGCGGTCTTGGCAGCTCTCCCCAGCACGGCTGCATTGGAATCTGAAAGCTTCCAGGAGCTCGTGGATGCTGAAAAAGGCTTGCAGTGGAGAAGAGACTCCCATGGGTTCACCCACCTTTTGCCTTTTGGCAGCCTTTCAGATTCGGCCTTCAGCCCATCAGCTCTGTCCTCACAGCCTGGCAGGGTAGCTGCCTCCATCCCAGAGGGAGCTGCTATCTCAGTCCAGGACAGGGCTGCAGACAGGACCCCGATAATCCAGGGAAGAGTGAACAGATGGCCTTCCTCTCATGGGGGGGGTAGGGGGTGGCAGCCGCCCCTCCTCCCACTGCTGCCAGAGGCTCAGGCAGGCTATCCTCCATGGTCCAGCTGAGGAATCGGGGTGATTGTCACAGCTGGAAGCCAGGAGGTGGGGGACAGGCGTCTCAGAGACCAGTGTTCTGTGCCAGCATCTGCTATTTTGAGCTTGCAGAAAGCCTCCCACTCGGCTCCTCTGCTCAGCCCTGCCTGCCCCTTCATCCACATACTCCACAGTCCATTTGGAGCTCCTGCTGTGTGCTGGGCACTGTCCCAGCCCCCGGGGAGCACCCACACCAGAGAAGACAGCGTAGGTTCCGGGTGCCCCTCCAATGGGCATCAGATGGCCATTTCTTCCCTGCCTGTACTCTGCTCCTTGTTCTAGAGGGTGAGGGTGGGGACGTGTCCTTCTTCCTGAGGCCTGAGTGGTCCTGTGAGAGAGAGGCTCTCCACCTAGGAGGCAGGGTTCGTGGCCAGCCGGCTGTGGGTCTAGCTGTCAGGGGCATCCTGGAGGCAGGGAGAGCTGACCCCAGTAGACACAGAAGAATCACCTCGCTGGAAGCCTGAGTAAGGACCCATGTGGAGGCAGCAGGGCCCCCTGCCAGGAGAGAGGCTGAAGGAACCAGGGAAGACACGTGTGGCCCGGCCTCGCAGTGCCTGGGAAACCCTGAACAAGGCCACAGTCAGACTGAGACCGGAGCAGGCAGCTCCCCGACGGGATCTGCGGTGCTGTGTGGTCAGCTCCATGCTGTCCTCCAGCTGATGCACGGGAGTGTTGCCTCACGCGGGGCTCTGCGAGGTCCTGCCTGGTCGTGCTGCGCTCACCGTTGCCACTGCTCATTGTCCGTTGCCACTGCTCATTGTCCATGGGACTCTTACCTTTTTTTTTTAATCCTCACCTGAGGGTGTTTTTTTTCCATTGCTTTACAGAGAGTGGAAGGGAGAGAGAGAGAAACATCTATGTGAGAGACATCAATTGGTTGCCTCTCCCACGTGCCCCGACCGGGGATCGAGCCTGCACCCGAGGTACATGCCCTTGACCGGAACTGAACCCGAAACCCTTCAGTCCGAGGCCCAATGCTCTAACCACTGAGCCAAACTGGCTAGGGCAGTGGGACTGTTATTTTAACAAGACTCACATAACCTCTTCCGTTGAATGTGTGTTACCCAGAACCCTCTTGGGGAAATTACAAGATAAGGTGATCAGACTAGTGGTCAGATAAGGCTTCACCAGATGGTCCTCTGGAGCATTCAGAAGACCAGACAGGAAGGATTTAAGGGGTTGAGGTGGAGAAGGGCCAGGAGAGCAAGTCCGGGACAGACGAGAGTGTCACACATTCAGGGCAAGAGGAGGTATGCTGTGGGGCCTCCAGGCATTCGGGGGACACCTACTGTTGGTCTCAGGCTTCTTGACACAGGCCCCATGAAGGACAGGTTCCATCTGACCCTGTCTTCAGCCCAGAGAGCTTCTGGGGCCTCAGGACTCCAGGCCTGGGCAGCCTGGCTACTGGTACTGGGCTGGGAGAGCCTCTGTGTTGCCCAGGGTTTTGCCAGACCACCTGAGGCCCTGGCTGGCTTTGGCACACACTGGGAGCAGTGGTGATAACTGGTCCCTTCTCTTCCCTTCCCTGGAAAAGCCAGAGGCCAACACAGTGCACTTTGGCAACCATCTAAGCAAGGCCAGGCCAGGGGGGAGGAAGACACAGGAAGGAGGAGCTGCATCCTGACCTCAAGTAATTGTGCTTTCTTGCTTTGCCTGCCGCCTACAGAGGAGAAGTATGTCACTGTGCAGCCTTACACCAGCCAGAGCAAGGACGAGATTGGCTTTGAGAAGGGCGTCACCGTGGAGGTGATCAGGAAGAATTTGGAGGGCTGGTGGTACATCAGGTAGGAGCCCCAGCAGAGGAGCAAGATGCCCTGGGCAGCAGAGCAGGTAGATACTACCGAGTGGCCGGGGATGCCAGATGGCGAGTAGATACTGACGGCAGCTTTGCGCCCACGGCCCAGGCTTGGCTGTGCTGAGTCTGTACAGCTGAACAGCTCGGACAGAGAATGCTCATCTCGCAGATTCTCTCCTGGGACACGTAAAGCAGAGCCTGAGCTGCAGCCAGCGGGGCCTAGGGGCTCCAGCTCGGCTTGCAGGCGGTGGTGCAATCCCTTCCAATGCAAGTGCCAGGAGGGTCCAGCACATCTGAATTTGGTTTTCTGCGTCCGGCTTTGGCTGCCTACTGTGCTCTGCAGCTCAGGCTGCCTGGAGCACTGGCGTCCACAGGCCTCACTGAGGTCCCAGCAGGCCGCCCCTGCTGCCCACAGCTCAGCACTCCGGCTCTGTCCCCGATTGTCCCCTCTGCAGGGCTGGCTCATGTGGTTGCAAGAGCTGGGCCAGAAGTGAGGCCTGAACCCAGGCCTGGTTCAGAGGTCTCTTCTTTCTCCTGCACCTCTCTCTCCCAAGGCCTAATCACACTTCTGAGCTGAGAAACCCATTGGGGAGTATGGGGCGGGGGGAGTGGGCAGCTTTCCTGATGCTCTTGGAAACAAACAAAACCTGTGGGGTTTACTTGCCTCTCCCCTACTAAGCTCTGCCCCTCCAGTCCCCTCTGCCCCGGTATTTCGAGGCCAGCGCCACCCTCAGGGAGCCTTGCTTTCAGGAAATGTTTTGATTCCTTTGGGACCTGCTCAGCTCTGATGATTTTACCCAGTTTCTCTCTTCTTTGCCCATAAGCAGCCTTGCAGAGATTGTCCCACATCTGTGGGCTCTGGGGACCACCTCTACCGGCCCACCACACCTGGGAACCCTATCCCCATTATGGGCAGGATGCATGTTCTGGGCTATCGCCCACAGTGGGTACAGGATTGACCAAGGTGATGTGGGCAATCAGAGATGGTTGCTCAGACCACACTGACTGGCCAACACTGATGGTGTTGAGATTGGTGCTGATGGGTAGGATAAAGGTCACTGGCCCCATGAGATTGAACCTTAGTGTGACCTGACAGGACATTGCTGCCCTGGCCCTGCATGTCTGTCGGGATGGCTGAGGTGTCTCTTTCTGTCCTGTTAGGTGGGTCGGGACTGTGTGCCTGGACATGTGTTGCCCAAAGCCCCTTCCCCTGGACTTTGATGACCTCTCAGCAACTAGAGTCAGCCCCCAAATCCACCAACAACGTGTCTGGCGTAGGAAGGCTGGCGAACAGTCTGACAGGCTGGTTACCTAGACCACTTGCCTGGTGGTTATCTACAAAGCTCATGGCTTTTTGTTTGGTTTTTTAAGTTTTCTAAAATGACCAGTAAAGCCACTTTGTGCTTTTTCTTCTAGTCATCTCTTGTCCCCATGGTCTAGCCCTTTAGCCAGCGGGAGCTTCAACGGAAAACCCTGCTGAAAAGGTTCCACCTTAAGAAGGCTGCCAGACACCCCCTTAAATATGCCATTTCCCAACATTCCNCATCTAGTAACTATGTTTAATCAGTGGAGGAGCTTCCAGACTGTTCCACAGCAGCCGCACCATTGCGCCCTCCCCCCAGCGGCATTTGGCCTGTCCTTTTGTCTGTCTGCTTCAGCTCGCGAAAGGCAGGGTCAGACTTGCTCCTCAAGGTGCCCTCTCATCTCTCTTTTCCCCAGTTGTGTCTTCTGTCTGCTGGGAAGAAAGAAGATGACCCAGCTGCAAATGCAGGTGTAGGAGGCTTTGGTAAATAGCGAGAGCAAGATTTTGATTCTCCTTTTTGGTCGTTCCCAGTGCCGTGTGACATTGGACACTTAATTTCTCCGGGCCTCTCTCATACCCATTTAACACTCCCCCAAGCCATTTCCTACCTTTCCATGCATTTGTCAGGATTAGGAAATACTTGTTATTTTCTTGTGTGACAACTAATATTTTGGGGCCAGTGCCATTGTTGGAGCAAAGTTTTCTCCTTCAATCTCATTCTCAAGTGTAGTTTCTCTTTTCAGGCCCCATTCTCTGATTTGATTACACACACGCACACACAGCCCTGCTTTATCCTAGTTTATGAAAATACAACTAGCTGCCCCACTCCGAGTGACCATTTCAGATGGAGACACATTTTTTAAAAGGGAATTTATGAAACTAAAAAAAAAACACAAAAAACCAGCTCTCTGGTCAGAGGCAGGAAGGTGGAGTGTTCTTTGCAGCTCCAGTTAGCAGCTGGCTTTGGCCAGTTCTTATGTGTAAACAGCAATTTTCTGAACTGGAATGGTGCTGGGGTTTTCTTTGTGGAGCCAAGAGGTTTGTGGAGAGCAGTGATGTTTAGTTAAATTATGGGTCTAGATGCAAGACTGCGGCATTGAGCTGTGAGAGTCTGAACACTCCCCACTCCTCTATGTGTCACACACACACACACACACACACACACACACACCCTCCCTCTCCCTCCATCTCTCCTTTTCCAGTTTGCTTCCCTCTGGAGTCATTCCATGCTCCAGAGCTGGAAAGCAGATGTGAGCAGAGTTGGACCCAGACGCACACACAGCCGCTTCTGATTCCCTTGCCTCCTTCTGCCTGGAATCTAATTTTATCCATGTAACACCAAAGGAACACACAGGATTTGAAATGGAAGCTTTCAGGGCAGCGAGCAGGCCTGACCATGCCTCCCGTGAAACCCTGCTCCCCATCTCTCCATGGTGTTCTCAGAGGAATGCACCTGCGTGGCCAGCAGGTTCCCCTTCGTCTTTTCTCTGAGATGCAGGAGCACCGGCCTCTGAGCCAGATGCTGCCACCGGCTAGCTGTGTGACCCTCTGCTACTTGCTTTGGTTTTCTGAGCCTTGGTTGTTGCCTCGTATGTAAGATTAGGCATCTTGATTAGTTGCTTCCATCCACTCCTGAAATCCTATGCTTCTGTCTGTCAGCTCCCTGATTTCCATCCTTTTGTTCACTGATGTCTGCCTCCCAGGCCTCAAACACGGAGCCAGATGGATGAGATGGGGTGAGCCTGCCTGCATGTTCCTGTGACGTGCACGTAACCCCCTACCTGAGCTTTCCAGCAAAGCTCGAGACATGTCGATAGAAACTTTAACCCTCACATTCCTTTTTCTCCCACCAAATGTGTGCCCAAGAACAAGGTCAGATGGAGAATCAGGGGAGGGGGGATTGTCAGACATCTGGCATGGAGGAGCCATTTCAAAGAGCCAGATGTGTCCCAGGAAGCAGACGGGGACATTACAACCCAGACTCTGGGGCATTGACAACTGTTGATGAGGAAGTGAGCTCTCAGTGGGCTTGGGTAGAAGCTCAGCACCATGGGGGGGAAAGGGAAAAAAAGCTTGTTTTCGGAAGTCATCAAGTCACCTAAAATTAAGTCAGCCCTGTCATTTGCCTTTTCTCTTGTTTATGGGATTTGGGGTTTTGTTTTCGTTTTGTTTTGTTTCATTTTGTTTTTGTTTTGCCATACCAGAGGTTTTAATTTTATCCAGTCATGTGCTTTAGTCACTTCATTTATGGTTTCAGCTTTTGAAATTCCATTTAGAAAGGTTTTTTTCCAGCCCCTCAAGATTAGGCAAGTATTCACAACCTGCATTTTTTATTTTGCTCTACAGTGTGGGGCCGGGGGCTCACTTATATTTCCTAACTGGATAATCACTTGTCCCCAGATCACTCACTGAATAATCCATCCTTACCCCACTAATTTTGAAGTGTCCCCTTTAGCACTGGTCTATTGGTGGACTTGTTCTGTGAACTTGATCCGTCTGCTACTTCTGCATGGTACTGATACGTTCCCCACTCGGTCACTCACCTTTAGAGGCGTCTTCCTAGTGGTCTCAATGTGTTCATCCTTCTGGATAAATTTTTGCAGTTATTCTATCCGTTCATTTTGCCAAAGAGAAAACAACTGAGCTCAGGTTTTCTGGTCTACCTGGGCTACCTCTTCGCTTCTCTGATAATATTTCCCTTTCCAATAGGACATTTAACTCGAGACACCTTCTCATTTCTTATCTCTAAAATTGCCCTCTACTTACTGTGAGGTAGCAAGCTATTATGGAGTCTACCTTTCAGGCAACCCGAAATTTAAGGAATCTTTTAACCTGAAGTTCCCACATTTGCCTGACTTTGCAGAGTATGAGAACTACACCAAGAGGGGTCAGGCACAGAACAAGGAGATGGAAAGAAATGGTGTTCTAGGTGTCTTTTCCACCTGCCCACAATTCCACTTCTCTCCAGAGTGGTGGGGTTGCCAGGTGTCTGCTGAACACAGTAGAAAAGGCTAAGCTGGGCAAAGCCAGATGGGGCCTGGGCTTGGGAGTGGGGCATGAGGTCAGGCCTCAGTGCTTCAATGGCCTATGTCCCATTCCTCCCCATAGATACCTGGGCAAAGAAGGCTGGGCACCAGCATCCTACCTGAAGAAAGCTAAGGATGACCTGCCAGCTCGAAAGAAAAATCTGGCGGGCCCAGTGGAGATCATTGGGAACATCATGGAGATCAGCAACCTGCTGAACAAGAAGGCATCCGGGGACAAAGAGACTCCACCAGCCGAAGGCGAGGGCCCAGAGGCCCCCATTGCCAAGAAGGAGATCAGTCTGCCTATCCTCTGTAACGCCTCCAACGGCAGCGCCCTGGGGATCCCTGAAAGGACCGTCTCCAAGCTGGCCCAGGGCTCCCCAGCTGTGGCCAGGATTGCCCCTCAAAGGGCCCAGATCAGTAAGAGCCTCGCTGAGCCCCGGGTCCTTGCTGCAAAGCAGTTTATAGAGTGGGCATGGGGTGCAAGGAAAGCTAGATTGGTGTGCATGACCCCCTTTTCATTTTCTTCATCTTTTTCTTTTTAATTCTCACCCAAGAATAGTTTTTCCATTGCTTTTCAGAGAGACTGGAAAGAAGAGAGAGAGAGAGAAACATCGATGTGAGAGAGGCACATCAATTGGTTGCCTCCCGCACATGTCCCAACCTGGGCCAGGGATCGTGCCTGCAACCGAGGTACATGCCCTTGGCTGGAATCGAACCCAGGACCCATCATTCCATAGGCCGATGCTCAGATCAGCGAGGGCCATTTTCTTTGTGATATAGACTGACCCCTGACCCCAGCCTGTCAACTTGTCTCATGCTAATTACACAAGCAGACAAGGCAGTTCCTCTCAACTCCTCCACTGAAGATAAATTCTATGAGTACATAAGCTGCTAGCATTTCCTTCCCTAGTGGAGAGCAAGGAATGCTCACTTTGTAGATAAGTGTAAAACCCCCCAGCTGTGAAATGTGAGTCACAGGCAGGTGCAAGGCTGCTTTGCCAATAGAGGAACATCTTTCTGGCCTTCCGCCTCCTTCCCAATTGCCTTCTCCCAATTACTGGAAACCTAAAAGACATGGACGGGATGGTTTTACCTCTCTGTACAAGCGTATTTTTAAGGGGCATTCTTCAGGAATCTCCTTCCTTCTCACAGGAGAAACCTGGATATCTGGCACCCTCTGAATCTCTGCGCATCTCTGGCTCACAGTGCCTTCAGCTGGGGGTTAAACTGTCTCTATTATGAGAGACAAGTTTCTGTGTGTGTCCAGCCAGCCTTAAAATCTGGACGAAATCTGTTTTGATTCTAAACTTGGTTAAGTCAGCTCTGTGCCTGCAATCTTTTAGGCAAGCAGTTGGGAAATCTTTTGAGGGCATCTCCTCTTGCCTGGAATGGTGCTAGCTTCCGAGGACTTAGTAGTGAGTGAACAGTAGACGTGGTCTGGGCTCCAAACTTTGAAAATCTATGTACTTTGATAAAGCTATATACCCTTTCTCCTCAAAAATGCCTCCTCTGTGTCTGTGCCTTTTGCAATGTGCACATCACTTCAGAGGGCCCATGGACCCCGCCCCGAAGCACAGCCATAAAAGCTTAAAGGTCTGTGGTTTCCTACAGAAGCCCAACTGTAGTGCCTGTGTGACTGAGAGCATGGGCCCTTCATAAATGTGGGACAAAAACAGGAACTTTGGAGGAACAGGAGGCGGTCACACCTAGGGAAGGCAGATATAGGCTATGTTGCCCAGTACACTTCTGGCAGGCATTTTTTAAGCCATGTGTCTTCTTCTAGGCTCCCCGAACCTAAGGACAAGACCTCCACCTCGCAGAGAATCCAGCCTGGTATGTTTGCCGTACCTCTTCTCCCTATCTTCCTCCTTTTCTGGGGATGTGCTGTAACAGCCCCAGTTAACTGGCTGTCCCACTGTTGGTCCAGAGATTTCCCAGGGCCCCGCTGGGCCTTCCAGCTTTGTGGGCTGGGGGCAGAGGGAAGCCTGCAGATTTCAGCCTTTCGGGAGACCTAGCTAGACAGTTTATAATCGAAGACGCTCCACACTCCAAAGCTAAATAAATCCATCCCGGCCACTGCACTGGCAGACATAAACATTTAGACTGGCCGGCGAGAGTGTCCGGCCGGGGCATTGCCAGGGGCTTGAAATGCAGCTGCTGTCCATGTGAGCCTGGATGCCTTTCAGCTTTGCCTTCCTCACTTGGGAATGCCCGATGGAGGTGGTCGATGCCAGAGCCAGGAGGGTGGAGGGCAGACCAGTGAGCATCCTCCGAGGTGGGGTCCAATGGCCAGGACTGGCTTATGCTGAAGCTTAAAGATGCTCAAGCCGCTGGGGTGCCCAGCTCGTGTGGGTGGGGCTTCCTGATATTCAGACCGTCAGGGATGCAGATGTGCACTCAGGGTGCTGGGCTTGGGCCAGCCGTGATGCTGGTGGCAGGCCGAGAGCCCTAGAGCAGAGAACGGCTACCAGAGGCAGTGAGATGTGTGGAAGGAATGGGCTTCGAGTCTGCCAGGCTTAGATTCATATTCCACTCTGACACTTAGGAGCAGCCACCCCCAGGGCAAGTTGCTTACCCTCCACAGGCCTCAGTTTCCTCATCTGTCAGTACCAGCCATCTCCTAGGGCTGTTGTAAGGATGAAATGAGATGATGGGTGTTGCTGGCTGGCAGTGAGGTTTTCATTTCCTGTGTCAGCTGTGACTATTCCAGGGACTACCTGCGACACTGTGGAAACAGATTTCTGAAGTCACATCTGGGCTAACAGCAAAGGTTACTGTGATCCGTGCCCAGGGTCGAGGAATAGTGTTAGTTCCTGGAGAGGCAGGCCTTCAGTAAACAGGATTACTGAAGTTCTGGCCCCTGGATATGAGACTATCCTTGCCCTGGCCATCAGCCCTGGTGGGGTTTCTATCTATCTCCCTTTTCTCTGTGTTTTACACAACTAAACAGCGAGTTCTTTCCTGCCATTTCTCTCAGCCCCAGCTAATTATGTTCAGGCAGACTTGATTTTGGCAAGAATGGGGTAATTCCTTCCACGCTTACCAAATGCAGGGCTCGCTGAGGCAGGGCTGCTGTTTCCAGCTAGGTCCGGCTGAATCCCACTTGGCCAGGGGTCCGGGCTGGGCTGGGGCCTGGGCCACATCTGCTCACATGCATGGCTGCAGCGCCAGACACCAGGGCAGGGAAAGTTGACTGAATCATACCTGGTCCCTCAAAACCAGCTTTCCTCCTACCCTTCGCTCTCTCTGACCCGGGCAGCTGAGCTGTAACTGGCTTGATCGGGACCTGCTCAGCCTTGGAGGATGACGAAGGCAGAGGGAAGGATGGTGTTTCAGGAGGAGTGTTCAGCTTTGGCTTTTATTGATGGAGCTTTTCCTGTGCCCCTGGCCAGGCCAGAAGTTAGTCCATTATCTCAGGAATCCTCTCAATGACCCTGCTTTAGTTCCATTTTCTATGTCAGGAAACTGAGGCTCAGAGAAGTCAAGCCCAAGGCCATCCAGCTGGTGAATTGCTGAGCTGGGGTTGGAGCCCACATGTGCCCAGCTGCGAGGAAGAGAGAGGTCTTTCGAGGTCTTGTTACATACAACACAGCTACTTCCCCCTCCCTAGTCTCCCCCACACACATATCCTCATTCAAAAAATGTTTTGTCTTAACCTCTTTGTATGATACAAGGGCATACTGGGAGTAATGGGGAGGCACGAAGTACCTTTTGGCCAGAATAGAGAACAGGTAGAGCTAGAACATCTGCTCCATGAGGGCTTGGTCAGGGGGTAGGGGGGGGAGTCGTCCTTCTGGTTCACTTTTGGATGCCTACGTAGACCACTGCCTGATGCCCAGTAGACATACAGCAAATGTTTGTAAAATAAATGAATGAGGCTTACAAGTCACGGGCTGTGGTCAATTTCTAAAATGTCCTTGAATGTTGTGCTTAGGTATTGATGTGCCAGCATCTAAAGACATTCAGGCTCTCCAGTGTGTTCCACTGTGCAGAACAGAGGGTCCTGAGTGTCTCAGTGCCAGCCTGACATTTGGGAGCATTGTGGTGACTGACCAAGATCTTCTCACCCACCCCCACACCCCTTCACATTTGCACCCCACCCATGGAGATGGCTGTGTCCCCTAGCTCTGCCCCTGCAGCCCCCTCCCTTAGACTTAAGGACAGTGGCTGCCCTCTCCCACAGGGTAGTGTGCACAAACTTTGTTACAAAGATGTCCTGTTTTCTAATTTTCATTTTGGGACCTAGTTGTTGAGGCTTCAGGAAACTGGACCTCCAGAGATGGAAGGGTGGAAATGACTGTTGCTAAATGGTCATTTTGAAGGCTCAGATAAGTCTCAAGTGAATCGTAGGTATTCTTAGAAATTTTACTCAGGAGAGTGACTCAGGTGACAGATACGTCCTCAGGTCAGCTGCTGTCCAGCTGGTGCAAATGCCACATTCACTGCCATTACCATTCTGATCAGGTGGGTTTTGCTCACTGATTCCTTCTCTACCTTAGGGGTTCCAGCTGCCGAAGCCACCAGAGCCCCCTTCTGTTGAGGTGGAGTACTACACCATTGCCGAATTCCAGTCGTGCATTTCTGATGGGATCAGCTTTCGGGGTGGACAGAAGGCAGAGGTGAGCCTTGAGCCATGAGGCTGAGGGTTTTAACTCAGGCTGGTCAGAGACCTGCTGCATTTCCCTCTTATGTCTTGCTGGCACTGTTCCTGAGAGGAAAGCAGGAACGGTGCAGAAACAAGACCCATAAAAGCTAGTAAGTACCACAGTCAGGACCAGAACCCAGGACTTGTGTCTCTACCCAGTGTTCACAGTGCTTCCCTCACAGCAGCATTTCCCAAAGCATATTGTAGGAGCTTGTGATGGGGGTGCCTGAGACAAAGCGCTTCTGTGGTTAGATCAGTTTAGAGCACAGTGGGTTCAACAAAATCCACCCAGCTTTGTTGTTTTAATTGCAGAACTTCTCAGAGCCTGTGATATGGAGATGTCACTGTGCATCTCTAAAGGGGACTAGATTAGGCAGCATTGCCCAGACCCATTTGGCCCTGGCACGCTTCCTCTCCCAGGAGCACCTTGGGGGCCAGCACATTAGGAAGTGCTGTTGTTGGGGGAACATGGTCCAGGCTGCAAAAGTAAGATTCCAGGGAGCCAGGCTCTGGCCACATCCACAAGTCCACAGGCACCTCTGGTGTTTGATGCAGTCCTTTCCTCCTGTCCCCTCAGGCTTTGATTATTTCTGTCTGCAAACTGGGGTAGTACCCCTTGGGGTGCTCCCTCCTGGCCTGTCTCTTAGCATGTATGAAACTATTTTGCAGCTGGTGCTGAACATAGCATTCCAGGGCACTGTTGTTTTTCTTGAGTGGCTTTGTGTAGTAATGGAGTTAAATCCAGTTAACTCATATAAAACTGTCAGGAGACTAACTGGGCAGGCTGTGCCTATTGAAGAAATGATATCCACGGTGTGAATGTTTTAAATCACACGTCTGGAAGTTAGAGCTAAATTTCCAAGAGAAATCATTCTCTCAGTGTTGCTTAGGTTTCTGGAAGAACCGACAAAGCTTGTAATGTAACAGAGCTGTCATGCTTCTGATCTACCTAAGCTTGACCCTTAGGTATAGGAGTGGGCAAGACTGAAGGATAGAATATAGTACCACAGAAAGGAGAAAAATCTTTCTTTTTTGGTGGTGATTACAGAGATCTGGTCTTAGGCAGTCACTGCCTTCTCTTCCTTGCTTGCCCCTCTCCCCCCAGTGCCAATGTTTTCATGCTTCCCCACCCCCCACCAGGACCTTTTCCTCCAGGAGTGCACCACAATCCAAAATTATCTTCCCTTTGTGTTCCCCAATCCAAATGAATCCCAGCACAACCAGTAAGCACACACCTGTCCTTTAGTTAACCTCAAAGAGCAGTTAAGAAAGAAGCTCCTTGAACTAGTTTATACTAACAAGGAAATGACTGAAAGCCCATCCTCCTTCCCACAGGAAACCATTCACCCCAAGGAAATCTTTGCAGCTAGTGGGATTCCACATGCAGGGAAACAGCCGCAGGCAGTGAGGACAACAGGGCTGTGCTCTGTAGGGAGGCTCTGGCTAAATCCCACTGTCTCCCACTTCAACTCACCTGCATCTTCCCATTCTCTTCTAACCTGGGAAACCCTTCCCAGGGTCACCAAGGGAGGTCCTAGTAGTATTGAAGATGGGAGGAAGATGGGAGTGATAGAATGGTAGGTTTTTTTATACATATGGGTCCTTGGCAGAGACTTAGTAGAGTCTTTTCTAAGTGCAGTAGCGTAGAAGGAGAAGCGGGGTTCTGAGAGGAGTCCAGCTTGACCAGGATGTTGGCAGAGGCTTAGAGGGCCAGGGGAGAGGGATTTGAACAGCAGGAGCCCCCCAACTGGGTTTGAATCCGGCCCGTCACTAACTACATTGGGCCCTACAGTTGCTCAGTTTGGTCATCTGTAAATGGAGATAACGTCTCCTAGAGCCAGTGTATGACGCGCCTAGCCTGGCGCATCACAGGACCCCAGTGACCCTCCCAACTCACTGGCCTATCCGCCCCTTCCCCCTAGGTCATCGACAAGAACTCGGGCGGCTGGTGGTACGTGCAGATCGGTGAGAAGGAGGGCTGGGCCCCTGCGTCCTACATCGATAAGCGCAAGAAGCCCAACCTGAGCCGCCGGACGAGCACCTTGACCCGGCCCAAGGTACCCCCGCCGGCGCCCCCCAGCAAGCCCAAAGAGACGGAGGAGGGTCCGGCAGGCACTAGCGAGAGCCAGGACTCGCCGCTGAAGCTCAAGTACGAGGAGCCCGAGTATGACATCCCGGCCTTCGGCTTTGACTCGGAGCCAGAGCTGAGCGAGGAGCCCGCCGAGGACAGGGGCTCAGGGGACAAGCGAGCGGCGCAGCCCTGCAGGCCCTCGCCCGCGTCCTCGCTGCAGCGCGCCCGCTTCCGGGTGGGCGGGTCCTCAGAGGACGTGGCCCCGGAAGAGGAAACCATCTACGAGAACGAGGGCTTCCGGCCGGGTGCGGAGGACGCCCTGTCCGCCAGGCGCTCCTCCCGGGACAGCGACTCCCCGGGTGGCTCCCCGCTGGCTCTTGCCAGGAAGAACTCCCCCAAATCAGGCTCCCCCAAATCGCCCTCGCTCCTAAAGCTCAAGGCAGAGAAAAACGTCCCGGCAGAACTGGGGAAGACCCACTCCTCGGCCTCCTTTTCGTCATCCGTCACCCTCAGCACCACCTGCTCCTCCTCCTCCTCCTCCTCCTCCCTGTCCAGGCACAGCGGCGACCTGAAGCCCCGCTCCGCCTCCGACGCGGGCACCCGCGGCACCGCCAGGGCCGGAGCGAAGAAGGACGCCGACCTGAAGGCCGGGCTCACCTCCTGCGCTCGGGCCAAGCCCTCCGTCCGGCCCAAGCCATTCCTGACCCGAGCGGAGTCCCAGAGTCAGGAGAAGATGGACATCAGCACCTTACGGCGCCAGCTGAGGCCCACAGGTCAGCTCCGGGGGGGTCTCAAGGGCTCCAAAAGTGAGGACTCGGAGCTGCCCCCCCAGACGGCCTCCGAGGGTTCCAACGAGGGGTCTAGGAGAGGCTCGGGTGACCTCATCGCCCTCCCAGCTGCCACGCCCCCATGTCCCACCAAAAAGGGGCGGGAAGGGCAGGCCACCTCCTACGTGACGTGTAGTGCCTACCAGAAGGTCCAGGACTCGGAGATCAGCTTCCCCGCGGGCGTGGAGGTGCAGGTGCTCGAGAAGTCGGAAAGCGGCTGGTGGTATGTGAGGTTTGGGGAGCTGGAGGGCTGGGCCCCTTCCCACTATTTGGTGCTGGGCGAGAATGAGACGCCTGACCCCTCTGGCAAAGAGTCGGATGCAGCGCCCGCCAAGGGCAAGCAGAGAGAGGGCAAGTCAGACAGCCTGGAGAAGATGGAGAAGCGCGTCCAGGCGCTGAACACTGTCAACCAGAGCAAGAGGGCCACGCCCCCCATCCCCTCCAAGCCCCCCGGGGGCTTCAGCAAGACTTCCGGTGCTGGGGCGGTTAAGATGAGGAACGGTGTTCGACAGGTGGCCGTGAGGCCCCAGTCGGTATTCGTGTCCCCGCCACCCAAGGACAACAACCTGTCCTGCGCCCTTCGGAGGAACGAGTCTCTCACAGCCACCGACGGCCTCCGAGGCGTGCGCCGGAACTCCTCCTTCAGCACCGCCCGCTCGGCTGCTGCGGAGGCCAAGGGCCGCCTGGCCGAGCGGGCCGCCAGCCAGGGCTCGGACACCCCTCTGCTGCCCACCCAGCGCAATGGTATCCCCGTGTCCCCTGTGCGCCCCAAGCCCATCGAGAAGTCCCAGTTCATCCACAACAACCTCAAAGACGTGTATGTGTCGATCGCGGACTACGAGGGCGACGAGGAGACAGCCGGCTTCCAGGAGGGCGTGTCCATGGAGGTCCTGGAGAGGAACCCCAATGGCTGGTGGTACTGCCAGATCCTGGACGGGGTGAAGCCCTTCAAAGGCTGGGTGCCCTCCAACTACCTGGAGAAAAAGAACTAACGGGGGCGTGGGTCCTTCCGGCCTGCGTGTGGATGAGCGGTGAGAGGGACAGTAGGGAAAGGGGAAAGGGGAGGGGGTGGGGGGAGG